TTGAAAACTTTAGTTTGATTGCACAGTGGAAACTGTGGCATTTTAAACTGATTTAGATTTCATTTTCACACTTTGTATATGTGCAACAAATCAAAAATTAATGACACTCATTAGTAAATATTTTGTTATTGATTTTAAATTTCAACAAGATCTTGATGGTTAATGTTTTCTGCCCTCAAATCAGTGGCGCTCCAATACTTACCTGAAACTTTATTTTTCGAATTGTCTTATTTTGAGCAAGAGAATAATTTGCACCAGACTCTCAGTCCTACAATCTCAATTATGGGACAATAGTTTTGTGTCTGTGCTACAACTGGAATCCATGACCGGGTTTGAGGTAGGTAAACTGAGTGATGACCCGGGAAAAATAGACCCGTAATTTACAATGTCTTAACAGTAAAAATTAAATTTAATCAAATAATGAAAAATTTGAATCTCCAATAATTCACATCAGTATCAATAAATTGAAAATGAAACAAATTAGCGTTAACCCCAAATTAATTAAAATATTTATATACGTTCAAATTTTATCAGTTAGTCACCAAGCGTGTGTCATCACATAAATCAAATTCATAAAAATATTAAAATCAAGGTGAAAGTAATTAGATTGGTGATTTATGGCCGACACGAGTTTTTCGGCTTCCTCTGAGTTATTCATCCTCACATTCCTACAACAAATCTGTTGACCCCGATCTACACTGCCAGAACGTTTTGGTGACCTTTTTCCAGGTGCTTATTCCAGTTAAGGGCACTATCCAGAATGATTCCCAGATATTTGACCACTTTTGAAAGGCTGAGTTGCACGCCGCACAGAGAGGGAGGTCTTATATTGACCAGCTTCCTCTTTTCGGTGAAGAGCACTAGCTCGGTTTTTGCTGGGTTTACAGACAGTGAGTTTTCTGCGCACCATCTTTCTACTAGTTTTAAAGCGGTCTGCATGGTTTCGCACAGGACGTTTTCAAATTTTCCGATAAGCAAAATTGTGATATCATCTGCATACGCGGTCGAATAGAAGCCATGATTGTTGACGGTTTTAATGAGGCTGTCAACTACCACGCTCCAAAGTAATGGCAACAAGACTAAGCTTTGGGGGCAGCCTCTGCTGACAAGCGCTCTTACCTTCACGCCTACTGCATTTAGTTGAACTGCTGTTTTTTTAACATACAACCTATCCAGCCGATAATGGTTGGGTCAACGTTGTGTCTTATCAGAGCAGTTTCTACACTGTTAAAAGTTGCTGTGTCAAAAGCGCCTTCGATATCAAGGAAAGCTTCTAGGGCTGACTGCCGATAGAATAGTGATTTTTCTATCGTTTGCACAACACAGTGCAGTGCAGCCTCCGTAGATTTTCCTGGTTGATAGGCGTGTTAATTAGGGTGTATCGCTCGCAATGGCAAGTGCACATCTCTAATGTGTCTATCACATAGCCTCTTGAGAGTTTTCATAAGGAATGAGGTTAGACTAATTGGTCTAAGTTTTTGGATGAGAACAGTCATCCTTCCCAGATTTAGGGATGAAGGTGCCTTTAACTTCTCTCTAGTTCATGGGTATATAGCTTAAGATTAAACAGGCCTTGAATAGTACCTCAAGGTGTAATACAATTGCCTCCAGACCCCACTGAAGCATTGCAGGGATGACGCCGTCAATTCCTGCGGACTTAAATGGTTTTAAGGTTCGTATTGCTCAAGTTATTTTGTTAATTGAAACCACCGCGTTTATGACTTCCTCCGCTGTTCGGGGGTTCAGTTGTCCGTGTTCACCCGGCCATATTGGTTTTTCGGCGGTGTCCATGATTTTGCATTCTGGAAAGTGGGTTTCTAGTAATACTTTAGCAGTGTCTTCGGAGGTAACGGCGTATGTGCCATCACTTCTCCTAAGGCTACCTGGTTGCATTATAGGGTCTTTTGATAGAACTTTTTTAAGCCTAGAGGCGGTAGAGGTGGTGGTGTCCTCGGTGCAAAAGTTCATTTTTCTTTTCTCTGAGCTCCTTTTTGAAAGTTCCCAGATGTTCTTTGTATACTTCCCAGTTTTGGGTTATTTTAGCCACGTTAAAGTAGTTCCTCGATATCCGCCTGAATTTTTCCAACTCTCTATCCCATCCTGGTCCACCATTGTTATTTTGATGGATTGAGAGTGGACAGGAGGTTTCGAATGCCGCCGTTAAGCTTTCTTCCAGAAAGCTCAGGCATTCCTCTACCTCCCCAGAGTTATTCAGAGTTTGAGGAGGATTGCCCTATGCTGCCATTTCCGTTAGTGCGCTAACAAACTTTGTACTGTTTCTTCTTCGCGGATTTCTGAACGGCACAATTTGTGGTGACTCAAACAGCAGTTTGAAGCAAATCCACCTGTGATCGGACATAGATATATCCGAGGAGACATGCCATCCTTCTATTTTGTTACATATGTTTATAGATATTCGAGTGAGGTCTATTATTTTCTTATATCTATGTAGAGGTTACAAAAGTAGGTTCTTTGGCTCTATTTGCTATATTAGGGTTAGTTCTTGCTAAGTATTCAAGTAGCGACTTACCTCTTTCGTTGGTGTCCTTGTTCCCCCACACCGTGTAAGGTGCGTTGGAGTCACAGCCGACAACCAGGTTAAGTTTTTCCTTCTCACGTTGGTTCACCAATTTCACAAGGTCTCTGTTGGGGACCGGTGTTGCCCGGTCATGTGGCAGATAGGCGGAGGCCAGTGTCACTTCCGCACGATCATTGCCATTACCCACGAAGATTCGGACGACGCACAAGTCTTGACTGCATAGTTGTGGTAGGAAGCTGACTTGAAAGTGCCTGGGTGTGTAAATGCATGCCCTAGGTCTCCCTTCGCTTATTTTGTAGTGGGCCGATCCTTGGAGACCGTTAAGTCCATATACTTTGTTATTCACCACCCATAGCTCTTAGATCAGAGCTATGGTGTTTGGATTTTTGCCTAGGTAGCGTTGCATATTTGCCATCGCCGCCCGGCAGTGCTGGAGGTTCCCCTGGATAACTCTTATGGTGTCCATTTGGGAAACCAGAGTTTGACGGGTATCTTCTACTCGTCTGGGCTTGAGTCGAGAAGCTCGGCTTCAGTTTCCGATGTCGGGTTGTCAATATCCATGACAGCCGCCTCGTCGGTTGTCGAGGAAGCGTTACCAAAAACCTTGCTTGCCGGTACTTCTATCGGGGCATAATTTGGGCTCAGGGAACCGTCCCGGGGTCGTATTTTCGAATGTTCTCGCATACGAAATTTGATACGATTTCGAATGCTCTCGATTTAATTTACATTGCTGTAAGTCAAAATTTCGTGTACGAAATGTACTCGAATGGTTTCGAAAATCGCACCCCAGTTTCGGGGCTGGTCCTGATGGACCTTAGTTGAAGGTCCCGCCTCTGGGGATGGTCTAGGTGGACCAGCCTCAGCTGTCGGCACGGTATTATAAGCCCTCGTGTGCTTCTCTTCACCTTGGCTGTTTTTTTTTTCGACGAAGTTGAATTTGTAACTCAGCTTTTGTCCTTTCGCTTTGATGGTGTTCACCTGTTCTTCTGGTACACCGATTACAAGAAGTTGCCTTTAATTGGGCTCCTCCCTGACATCTCGGTGGAAGAGATGCCATCTTCTTATAGAGGCCCAGGGATTCTGGCCTTCCAAGCGTCATCTGACGCTTTCCAGGCCTTCAGGTGGCCCCGCCAGCCAGATCGTTGCCTTGACGAGCCTGGAAAGCCTCTCCACTGGGATTGCCTCTAATCTTGCTCCATCCCATAAGGGAGGTAGCCTAGCGCCGGCTAAGACTACACTATTATTCGGTTTTAAACAAATAAATATATTTCTCAGAAAAATGTAAGTACTCTAGTGACAAGTTTTATTTTGACTTTATCAATGTTGAAGCGACTATGAAGTGAATTGACTATGAAACTTTAATGCATAAATATCATCAAATATTTTCCTGAAGAGTTTGGATAAGCGAATAAACTGTTTTGTTCCGTCTAGAAAATGATAAGTTAGATATTTTGGTTTCTAATTAAATGAATTAAGATAAAATGTTCATTATTTTGATAGTTTTGACTCTGGCTAAGTACACGATTTTTGAGTAAAAGTATCGTACAAAATTTTGGCAGTAAGCAATTTCAGGGATTTTCTACGTTTAGTTATAATAATTAAACTAAATTATGAATTATTGTTTTGAGGTGAAAAAGGTGTTTAGAATTTAAAAATATTGTACCTAACGTAGTAGGACTAAATGAAAGGGTTATTAAAGCACAAGGCTTTTTGATTGCATCATTTGATTAACAAGCTCAGAGACGGTGTAGACAGTGTTGGATTAGGGTTTAGAAAATTTGTATCATTGTTATAGGAAATGAAAATCTGTTTATTTTCTTATTAATAATGTATGATTATTAACGGATAACCATAAAAAATCAGTTGTTTCTTTCAATTGCCCCAATTTACCATCTAACCTAATTAATAGAGTACTTGACGCGGATGCTACAGAATACATAGTTATCAATATCTAATCCTTGAATATGGTCAAATAATAATAAAATACCATATTCTTAGCATGAAGCTTCCGAATGACTGTCATAAAAGAAATAAGCTCAGAAAATAGAAAAGCAATAAGGGCCGCACTTGGAGTTCAATGGAGCCCAAATAATTTCAAATTACCCTCTTTCTCGTGACAGGGGTTCTGCTAAAATAACGAAATACTTAAACATAAAATTGCTCTCCTATATCATCTCCCTTGTCAAATTTTTTTTAATAAATCCTTAATTTAGATTCTTCCTCCGCATTAAATAACGCTTCACTTAATTTTTAATGACCCAAAAAAGAAAGCAATTAAATTGAAAAAAATAAAGAAAGAAAGGAAATTTCCGTTCCAGCAAAATAATTATTATGAACGCAATTACTTTAGTTATTAATAATGTAATTTAAGCAACTTTTCTAATTGAAAATTTGTTTCAGTGCTGTACATTTAAACAATATAATGTTTTAATGAAGTAGCAGCTGTTCCAAAAATTCTTACCTGTGGCAGTTAAAACTCCCCAAATCCTAGTAAAATAAAGCAGACAATCGTAAAATTTATCACACGTAAAAGCACGGTAAAACTTCTTGGATTGGCTCGGCGTTGTCGCATTTCTCGATCCGATACTGGCTTCAATGTTGATGCCGATAGGGTTGGTTCCCAGCGCCGGCAACATCGAACCGAACTTTTGGTGTAAACTCAGTCACATTTATTACTCGGTTTCACTTTGTTGCTGCGATCAGGCAATCTGAAATGGACAAAAAGGAATTTTATGGTTCAAATTTTGCTTGTTGAGACGATTTTGTAAAGCCAGATTTTACCATCGTTAAAAGTTTCAGTTTATCTTACACAGTGTGCCGCATTTATCGTGAGACAGTAACTTGACTCAGAATTATTTTTTCAGAGTTTAAGTTTTTACTGAGTGGTCCAATGTCGACCTTTCCACTGTGACCTGCGGTATTTCATCCATTATACGTAAGCAAACGATTATACGCATATTGCATCAGTGTTTCAAAATGATGTAAAAAACCAAACGTGACAATTAGGTATATCAAATTACGTCCACCCCGTTAGTATTTTTTACGCATTATTTATGCCTCAAATTACTCCGAATCGAATTAGCCCGAAATATCGGCTATCAAAATTGGAACAAAACCTCAAAAAAAATCGATCAAAATGAGTTATGGGTACTTTTATGGTTTACAACGGCATAATGGGAAGCCATACATCAGCCCGACATACCATTTAATTGTTTTATTACTGGCCAGGGATGCTTTATTCAACGAGATAAAAATATGTTCGAAAAATTTTCATTTGAGGACGAAATCACGGTTGAAAAGCATAATAAATTCGGATTAACTTTGCCTAAATCCGAGCTCCGGTGTTTTATTTTTCCTTCAAAGCCTACTAATTCACTGGTTAATCGCCCAAAAACGGGTGCCTTAATCTACAAGGATAGAGTGTATTTAACAGACAGTGTTTTTAGTTGATATTAGAAGATTAGGGTTGTGGATAAATACAACTTAATTCGACACATAATAATTATTCGTAGCAATGCTTTGATATAAAAGCAATTATAAGGGAGTTTCCTAGCAACATTGATTTAACTTTAAAGGTGGTTTAGTCCTTAAGTATAAACATTTTCAAAGTATTGATATGAAAGTTACAACTGAAGTTTGTATTGTATGAATCATATGATGCTATTTTTAAGGAATGGGTTCGAGAATGCATTATATTGAATTGGTACCAGACAGCGATAATTATACAGACCATTATCTGCTACACAGGCTACTGGTAAAAACTAGTTCTAGTAGTACAACCACAAGATCAGACCGGTATTTGACGCTAGTACCGAAATAAAAGGAAAAGTGTCACTGAATCAATGCTTGGAACAAGGTCCCAACCTCATCGTGTTGATTCCAGAAATTTTAATACGATTTCGGAAAAATAAAATCGGAGTGACTTCAGACATCAGGAAAGCCTTTCTACAGATAAGTGTGGATCGAGATTTTTTGTGATTTATTTGGAGAGGGATTCTCAAGGAAAGAAGGAGTATACAGGCACAGACTTGTTGTTTTTGGTGTGACAAGCAGCCCTTTTTTGTTACCGGCCACCATCAACCATCACCTTCTGTTAGAAGTCGAAAAACATAATGGAGATACGTACTTTTGAATTTGACCATTCCTTGCTCTCAATTTTAGCGAAGAGTTTCTATGTGGATAACTGTGTAACCAGTCTACCCAATCTACAAACTTTTATACGTCAATCCAGCATGATTTTTGTACAAGCCTAATTTGATTTGAGAGGGTGAGAGTTTTCTTGTCCAACACAAATTAATTCAGATAGTTCTGATAAACTGATTCCTTTTCTGGGACTTGCTTGGAATAATCGTGATGACACTTTGAGTGAAAAATGTGTTGGAGATCTGGAGTTACTTATGATAAGCCAGTTACCAAGAGGATCATGTTATCATTGGCTCAGAGGATATTTGGTTCCATTGGATTTGCCTGTCGGACTTCATTGATTCCGAAGTTGTTACTCCAGAAAACTTGGAAGGAGAGTTGGCGAGGGACACTGAAGTTGGTAAAGACATCAATAAGTCATTCCGAGTGTGACAAAATTGAGATGTTATGTAAAAATTGATATTTTGGTAGCGTGAATAATTCCGTGACATCCTCAAATTTCGTGGTAAATTATGCTGAAAAGTAAATTTGATCTGAAGCAGTAGATAACAGTTTTCTAAACCGGAGGTAATCTGAACGAAATCTTCTTTCTTCTCTTGTTGGAGTGGTTATTGAAAGGTGTTATTAGTGACTCAAAATAAAGTACCACTCACCACTTTTCTGCTGAAGCTGCAAACACCTTCTTTACCCGCACAAACCGACACGTTAGAACTTTCTATGCCACCACCAGTGTTTGAAAGGGGAATTTTAAAACCAGAAAAGGAAAGACTAATTTTAAAAGATTAAAATAAATTTATTTATGAGGAAAAAGAAAAGTTAGCGTTAATTATTTAAAGATAAAAAAAAGGTAAGGTAAAACATATAAAAAAAAATCTAAAATTTCGCTGAAAGTACCCTCTGGTTTATTTGTGGTGTTCCCATTGGTTCTAAAGCTTATTCAGTCTCCCCCATTCGAAAGTACCCTAATTTTTAACCTAATTAATGAGGGTGTGAAATGAATTAAACTATCCTCTAATAATTAAATAATAAAATAATTGAGTAATCACTCCTATCTTAACCTACCTATATCTTAATTATAACTAAGCAGTTGACTATCTTACAGTTAACATTTCACTCAAGTAATAATCCTTGATAATTATATTGCTATACAATTTGGTATTGTATCTTAAAAATCCAGCTCATGTTATCATTGCTTCGCTCCACACACACATGCTTCGAATATAATTTCTTTCCAGCAACGGTATCAGTTACCTGACATCTGGGTTCATCATAAAACGTGGGTATTCAGAAGATTATCCTTGACTTTGAATAAATTATTACAACCGCATGGGATCTGGTTCAGTCGACAGATTATTTTAAAGTTTAGTGTTTATCTAGGAAAACATAAATTTTGTCAATTTCGGGTTAAGCAAAATAATCTTAAAGCTATAAAATTCGATACTTTTTTAGCTTTCAAGTGATTTTTACCAGATTAGGTGGTTCGCAGAACTCTATGTGTTTGTAAATCCATTAGGGTCACATTTTAACTATCTATAAAAATAAAACTTTTCCCACGCAAGATGAGCTTGAACCGAGATTATGAATTTGCTATTGATTTTGTTACACATTGTTGACATGCAAGACGCAAGTAAAGGGGCCTACGGTACGGCGGTCTTTTTGAGGTGTGACTATCAGGATACATACTACTCTTTTGGCTACAAAGAGTCGAATTGCGCCGATCATAATTGTGACTATACCTCGAATGGAGTTGCTGGCGGCAGTTATTGGCACTAGATTGTGCAATTCTGTGAAAAAGGCTCTTGAATTCAAATCATTGGAGTGTTTTTTCTGGACAGATTCCACAACACTATTGTCATGGATCAAGAGAAATGAAGAGTGGTGAAACTTTGTATCTAATAGAGTGACTGAGATCAGAAAGACTTCCACAGCGGACGTCATCTTCCTGGATCTCAAAACCCAGCCGAGTTTCCATCACGAGGCTGTTCATCACAACAGCTGTACGAATCTAAATGGTGGAAGGGTCCCAATTGGCTTTATGAAAACCCCAATTTGTGGCCTCACGAAATTGTCACCTATAATGAAGCAGAGATTTTTGCTGAAAAGATAAAAGGTGCTGTGACTAGTTTAGCTAACTCCGAAGTACTTAAGGGAGCAGCGGAATAATATATTCTTCAAGTTTCATTATAACTATTCCTATGATTGGTTGGATATTTAGATTCGTACATAATGTTAGACATCCAGAGGATAAACGCGTTGGTGAGCTATCCGCTGAAGAAATGAACCCAGCGGAAATTTTCGTTTTGCGAACTGTACAAACCAAAAATTACCAATGCCTGAAAACTTTGCACGTATTTTGGGATGATTCTGGCATTATGCGCTTGAAGTCTCTAATAGCAAATCGTGAAGATAGCGAACTTTTTCGCATGCCGATAGTACCGCCATCTCGTCATGTTGTGATTGAGCGGCTTGTTTTCGATACCCATAGAAAGTCTTGTCATGTTAGAGTAAAGGGTTTATTGAGCTTACTGAGAGAAAAGTACTGGATATTGGGTGGACAAAGGTACCTACATCGAAAGTGTAATTTCAAAATGTGTGGTATGTCAGATGCAGGAATTCAAGAGTAGCCAAGTCCAGAGTCTCCCACTTCCTGCAGATCGAGTTAGGGATGCTTCAGTTTTTGAGGGCACTGGTGTGAACTTTGCTGGTCCTTTATACTTAAAGACAGGTGAAAAGGTCTGGATCTGTATTTTCACATGTGCCGTTCTAGAGCGGTGTACCTGGAACTAGCCAGATGCTTGTCAACTGAGTGTTTTTTGAAAACCCTAAGAAGATTTTTTGCTCGAAGAGGAAGACTGAAACTAGTATATAGTGACAATGGTACCAATTTTGTCCTCACAGATAATTTATTTAGGAAACTGCAATGGAGCGAAGTTGAAAAATATGCGGAGCGGATAATATGGCGTTTTAACCCTCCAACAGCAGCTTGGTGAGGTGGGTTCTGGGAACCCCTTGTCAGCATTTTGAAAAGATAATTGCGGAAAGTTCTTGGTCGGGCGGCGCTCACTAATGCGGACCTACAAACCGTGATATGTGACTGTGAGTAAAAAGTAAACTCCCGACCTCTGACGTATATTTCGGAAGTCGCCAGTAAATCGGTACCACTTACACCAGTTATGTTTACGCGCGACCTGTCCGAAGGTACTCTGCCTGAATGTGAAGTGGTAGACCGATCGTCATTGTGTCGAAAGGTGAGGCAAATACAAGAGATTCGGAACGATTTGAGATTTAGATTTCTCAATGAATACCTTGGACAACTTCAAAACACCACTAGTGTTAAGGCGTCTAGACAAGGTAAAGTTGGCGAAATTGTGCTAGTTGACAATGATATTATTAGAGAATTGACTGGCCAATTGGGCTCATTACCGATGTTCTACTGCAAATGAAATGTTGCTACGCCTTGTGCAGAGAGTATATACCTTAGAAGAGACTGGGACATCTGTAGAAATGGGGACCGGGCCATCAGAGGAAGAAGTGGAAACAACTTCATCGGACCAACTAGAAGTAC